GATTATGGGGGGGCGGCGTGGGTGGTGGGGTGTGGGGTGTGCAGGGATGTAGGGATGGAGGAGTGGAGTTATGGAGGGGACCCGCGGACCCTGTCCACACCTCCTCAACAATTTGAACACCAGTGCCGAAAACACCTCCACAAATTGTCTCAATCTGGGCCCGAAACCTCCCCACCCTTCCAGCCACCAACCGCAAACCCCATTCTTGACTAAGAGGCCCACCTTGTCCACGGTCACCCCCAGCAGCTGGTCCTCCAGGCCCTCTGGAGTCACGAAGAAGTTCAATAGTGACACCTTGACGGCCACCTCGGGGGCGTACCGCGGGTTACGCAGCTTGGTGGTCATGTAGAACCTGGGTTACACCACACAGCACGTTTGGGGGGGGGGGGAGAGCAAGGTTTGAAAGCGAACCAGGCGAGCTTGGGGCAAAGAGCAGCTGTACGCGTCTATCCAATGCTCAGCGTGCCGTGGGTGCTGTTACAGCCGCGTCGATGGCGCCAACATGGGAGCGTCACGCTGGCTGAGATCTGCTTGCGTGCATGCTTGGGTTCTGAGAAGTCCTCACCCTGTCCTGACGCGTTTGAATCCAATTATGCAATCCCCATGTACCTTGCCGCCCTTCGTGCACCCCCAACCCGCCCCCACCTGAAGTCCTGGTGGTAAGGGATGACGCTGTCCCCCAGCCGCAGCACCTCGCTGCCGCCCTGCTTGTACGTCGCCCGCAGCAGCAGCGGCTCCAGTGCCGCATCAAGGCCCTCCCCCAGGTCCTCCAGCAGCACGGGGCGCCCGAAGCGCACCCCGTTTTCCAGGGTGCGCAGGAAGTCCTTGGCGGTGGGCTTGGCCACCTCAAGGCCGCTGTCGCGCTCGAGGGCCTTGACCCAGCGGTTGGCTTGGCCCTGTGAGGGCGGGGTTTGACGGCAGACAGGGGGGTGGGGTGGGACGGGGTGTGGCTGACTAAGTGCGTTGGGAACGGACTGCTCTCATGAGCATCTGCTTCAGGTCAAGACTTTCATGTTTCTTCGGCCGAACAACACTCCATGTGCTCGCATCACCAACTGCACTTCCCTTGGCCCCCACGGCCCCCCATGCATTCTCAACTCCTCCCGCGCCCACTCCCCCAGCCTCGGCCCCCAAACTCACCTGAGGGTCTATCATCAGCGGCCACCGTCGCGCCTTACTAATGATGATTGCGTTCTCCACGCTGACCGCGTCGCTCGGCAGTCCGGCGATAGTCCAGGCGCGGACTTTGACGGGGTCCGCCAGCGTCGCCACCAGGTTGGCACCCTTGGAGCGCGCCACGCCCGCCGCGTCGAGCGCAGCGCCCCAGTCGGCGAGGAGGGCGGCGCGGTAGGAGGGCACGAAGGGGCCGCTGTATGCGATGGCGCCGGCGGCGAGGGCGATGTCGCCGACGAGGTTTGAGAGGTCGGACTGGAGCTGCAGCACGGTGGCCTGGGTTTGTGATGGTGGGTGGGTGCAGGATGATTGGTGCAGGGGCGAGGGGTAAGGGTGGCAACGGGAGCGACAAGGGCTTGTGGGTAGTGGTGGCAGAAACGAGGGCAACAATGACGAGGCGGTCGGGCCAAAACGCAGTTGTTGTTCATGCGGTAAAGCAAGCTTTGGGTTTGGTGGAACATGCAAGGCAGCATTTAGTGCGGGCAATGAGAGCATCCCACCATGACCACGGGGTTTTGCAGCCCAACACCAGGCACGGGCAACCCTACCTGCCACCGAGTGCGCTCGCCGCCAAGTCCTCCGATCAGCTTGTCAGCACGAGTCAGCTTGACGCGGCAGTCTTCGACCTGCGGCGCACAATCAAAGAGACCGACAGCAGGGTCGGCACCTTGATTGACTGACCCTGACGACAACCAAGACCCAAAATATCTTGCACCCGCCTATCTTCTCAGGCAAGATTGTGGGAAACTTGTCGTGTGACAAGGCACTGGAGAGTGCTGCGACTCACAGCCCACAAATTCACACCAACCCTTGTACTTGGAACAAGGGCCGCACCTGGGCAGCCAATGAGGCTTTCTTTGTGGTGGCCTCCTCAAACGCCGCCTCAAGGGACGCAATTTTCTGCTCAACGGCTGCCAGCCTCGTCTGAACGGGATAAGGTGTGGTAAGGAGTGAGCCAGCGACAAGCATGCATCATCAGTGGAGTGACATGGCCAGCTGGTGACAAATTTTGCAAGCGATGGATGGAGGCATGAAAGTGTGCCAACACAGCCCTCGCATCCACTGTTACACTCCTCTCCCCGCCCAAAAAAAACTCTTAGGCACCGAGGCACTTGTGCGAGGCGCTGCGCATGTACACCCAAATTGAAGCAAGCCCGCGCACCTGCGCCGCCGTGAGGTCGGCGAGCGTCTTGTCCAGCGTGGCCTGCGCCGCCGCCAGCGCCGCGCGCTTGGGCGCCACCGACAGCGCCACTGTGTTGTACAGGTGCATCGCGCGCACCCACATGCAGATGGAGGTGCAGGCGCGCGAAACCTTGGACACGGCCTCGGGGGTGAACTCCTCCAAGGCTATGTAGGGCTCGATCTGGGGGCAGGGCAATGGAGGTGTTTGCAGTCTTCAGATACAGGGCGAGCTCAGCAATCGACGGGGCAAAGATAACACCTGGGCAACGCCAGGACCATTGACTGGCAACAATTGTGAAAATCGAAGCTCCCACCCTCCACGGTGGCATCACAAATGGTGAAGCTCAGGGCCTCCCTCACGCCGCCCCAGGACGCCGCCACCCGAACCAAAAGCGAGCACCCCACCTTCTTGATGGTGGCGTCGGGGATGTTGTCCTTATCATATGTCAGCAGGTTCTCCAGGAAGCGGGTCGGGTCCGCCAGCAGCTTCTTGCTGGCATCCCAGTAGTCAGGCACCTTCTTGCCTGCGGCCGGCAGAGCGAGTCCAGGAGTGCACAACCAACATCTGAGCCACCAGCAATGCGTGCGGATGGTGTTATATTGGCCAAACAACAGTGGGTATTCCAAAACCACCCAAGCAAGACTCGTGTGAAAGTCGGGCGCGCTGGGGGCCAACGACAAATGGCGGCATGCGCAGCACCCTTCTTTATCTACCTTGATCTACTTCACGGCACAGCCTGCCCCTGCCACGCCTCCCCCTCACCCATCTTGGTGGGGTCCTCCTTCATCTTCGGTTTCTCGTCAAACATGATGCAGGCCGTCTCCATCACCAGCTTGACGCCAGCTGGCGGGTTCTGCAGGCTCTTCACCTCCACGATATCGTTCCTGGGGCCAGAAGGGAACGGTTGGGGATGCACGGGGAGGCAGGATGAGGTGGTGCCAAGGTCTGACTTCATCGATGAGGCGGCAACCAGGGACGGGAGGTGACGCGCGCGTACACGGGCCCGAGGCTGGCGGCAGGAAAAGTGGGCAGGGCGGCACCAGCGGATGGCACGGAACAAAAAGCCCTTCAGCCCGCGCAGTGGACGGCCGCACCTGCTGAGGTTCTTGAGGCTGGCCACCGCCGCGTCCAGCGCCGGCAGCGCCGCGTCCAGGTCCCGCTGGGCGTCCTCCGCCATGGCCTTGGCGGCGGCCGCCTGCTCGTTGGCCTCGCGCTCCTGCCCTTGGACCTGGGGTAACCCGGGGGTCGAGGGTGGTGAGGGCGGCGTGCGCAACCAATTTCAGGGAACCTTGTGGCAGGGTCGATTCAGGTTTCTATGCGTTGGACCCCCTCAAAGCCAACAAAGGTGCAGGCGTTTAGAGTTTCTTTGATACATGGTCCAAGCCCCACTCCTTTCGACAGTTTTCCATCCGCTGGCTCTCTCCCCTGGCACCCCTGGACTCCATGCGGGATGGTCCTCTCTCATTTTCCCCTGCCCTCCTGCTTGTACAAACGGCCCTTGAGCGGCCCCACCTGCAGGCGCGTGGTAGCTGCCTCCTCCTTGTCGCTGGCGATCACGGTCATCATCGTCTCCACCTGCTTTGCCGTGGTCGCCAGCACGGGCTGCAGCTCCTGCAGCTCGTGCTGCATCACCTCAACCTGTTCGAGGGGGGTGGGCAGGGGGGTGAGTGGAAGGCTGGTTGCTAGGTCGCGGCAGAATCTGGTTGGGTGGTGTTATGGGGACACACTTGTCCAGCTTCGTTAGAAATGAGCAGTTTGGGGGAAGGGAGTAATGCTTGCAGTATTTTGCTTCCGTCTCAGTGCAAAGCGCAAGCACAAGGTTGTCTCAGGTGCACACAAACACACACACACGCACACACACACACACACTCACACACACACACACAGACACACACACACATGCTAGTGCAGTGTCTCTATTAACACCAAATTGAGCGGTCGTGCCCCACCTGCTCTGCTGTAGATGTGAGCTTGCCCAGGCCGACCTCCAGGCGCCGCTTCTGCGCCACTGTCTCGGTGCGACGCTCCGCCAGCAGCTTGAGGAAGGTGGTGAGAAGCTCCAGGTAGCTGGTGGGGGTCACGTGGTTGTATCTGCGGGGAGAAAGGACCGCAGGCGCAGTGGCAGGGGTAATCAGAATAAATCAGAGTTGGCATGAGGCCAGGGCGAGGGTATGAGGCATTCACGTATGTCGGTTTTTTTTCCGCACAACGAGCTGGCATGCGAACCGCCGGCGCCCCGCCTGCAAGGCGAGGTCCCGCTGGACAGCAGTGCGGCGATCCCAGTGGGTGCCACGATCCAACGTCGTCCTCATGACAGCAAGAAAGGCCTCGAAACATAACAGCATCTGGTATATAACGCCCGCCCGCCCGCGACTCACCGCCGCAGCTCTTCGTAGTATCGTCGGCTGCGCTCCTCCACGCTCCTGTGAATCGCCACACAGCACTGCACCACGCCCTCAAGCCCGCCCCAGCCCTCGCCCCTGCCGCTCCCCGTGGCCGCAGCGTCTGAATCAATTGGGGCCGCAACGCCCGCGGCGGCCGGCGGCCCCAGGTCCACGTCCTGAAGGAAGCTTCTCGCGACCCCCGAGAGCGCCTCGGCCGGCCACTCCCTGAGAAGCAGCGAGGGCAGGGGGCGCGCACGAGTGTGAATGCGTAGCGCACCCTGCCTCGCCCGCAGATCTGTCAATCGCTCGCACCGGCAGCGAAGCAGGATGGTGCAGCTAAACGTGCATTCTGAGTGACTCAGCGAGGGCCAACTGGAGTTGCCGAGATGCGGCACATCCAAACGATGTTCCAGTTGTTGCTACTGCTAATGTGTGCCAGATCTAAGGGCATGTGTCACAATTCCCAACCCCACCTGAACCAGTCGATGGTGGTGCAGTTGACGAGGGACGGGAACATGCGGAGCCGCTGGCGGAAGGAGTCCTCCACAGGCGAGAAACACAGCACCAGGTGCAGGTAGGCACGAACCCTGGGGGGGCGACGAGATCGGGATGGGGCGGCCGTCCCGGGACAGGGCGTAGGGTTGCGTTTGCTCGAGAAGAGTGGCGGGAAAGTCGAGGACGCGGCGCTCCCGAGGGCTCAAGGCGGTGCGTCCCTGCCGGAATAGGTAGTAGTCGCTTGGCGCTCTGCTCCTCTCTGCCTGTAACGCCGCCCCTGACACCTCAATCCCCAAGCCTCCCTCGAAAGTTTCAATGACCACGGATGTACGCAAGAAAGGGTGCTGCAGCGCTTGGCATTTGACCAGTTCTGAAACCAAACTCAGCCCCTGGACACCGTTTCGGCCACCCTCCCACCTGTCGACGAAGAAGGCGTACACCGAGTTCTTGTCCACGGCCGCCACGCCCTGCGCCGCCATTAGGGGCTTCATTGCAGCGCTGATCTGCTCCAGATCATCAGCACCCATCAGGTTGGGCACGTCGCCTGCAGGGGCGGGACATAGGGGCCCGCAGAGTCGCCAGGTGGCTTCGAGGGACGCCGTTCGCGATGGGGACGGCGCGTGCGCTCGGCAAGGCGCATCGCTGCAGGCTGAATGATGCTGGCCTGGGATCACAGTTGTATTCAGGCACGCCGACGCCTGGTGTCAACCTTTGCAGGGTCACCAGCGACCGCACGTGCGACGCACACTCCCTGCACGGGCTTGACTCTTAACGCCCAGCTATACCCACAGCCAGCGATCCCATCCTCGGCAAAAACCTGTGCATCACTGAACCCTAACCTCGGCCTTTCCTTACCCGCGTTGAGGATGTTGTTGACGTCTTCGAGGAACCCCTCCTGGATAATCTGGGTGTCCGCCAGCAGAAACACGCAGTCGCGCCCCTCCAGCCCGGCGCGCTTCAGGACGCGCTTGAGGTCGTCGCGCCACTCCGCCGCGCCGTAGCCCTTGGCTACCTCGATGCCGCAGACCTGGTGGGGGTTGGGGCGGGAGTGCAACCTTGAGTGCGCAGGACGGGCAGATGGCGATGCATGCTGCATTTTGCTAATATTCTTGTGCATCATTTCAACTCAACAGTTCATCTCTGCCACGTCGTACACCATATACAGGGAGAAGACAAATGCAGGCAAGGTCTCTTGACAGCCGCCCCTGCCCACCTCGTAATCCTCAATGAAGGCTGCCAGCCGAGCCAGGCTCTTCCGGCCGCTGCCGCCGACACCCAGCAGCAACGCGTTCCCTAGGGGCTGCCGGATCACCCTGGAAACGGCACAGGCAATATGGGTTGACCATAACTGACCAACTTGTCACCTGTGCCAGCACACCCTGCGCTGAACCCCCCTTGCAAACGGCCTTATTGAACCCTTTCAATCCCCATCCTGCTTGCTGCCCGCGCACGACATGCCTCAATGTTGACCTTCAAATGGCAAGCGCCTTGCACACTGCAATCCCTGGCGATCGCCACACCTGGAGACATCCTGTATCATGTGTGTGGTGCCGAGGCCCGTGGCAACCACTCTCACCTGCACAGCCGTGAGACATGCTCTATTGCATCCAGGAACATCACCAGCCTCATCGGGGCCGTGCTGCTGGCGTTGTAGTCGTCCAGGTACGACTCAAAGAGGGCCACGAGGGACGGCAGGTCAGCCACACGCTGGTACACCTGCATGTGTGTGTGTGTGTTTGTGTGTGAGTGTGTGTGTGTGTGTGCGTGCGTGCGTGTGTGTCTGTGTGTGTGTGCGCACGCACAGATGTGCGTATGTTTTTGTGTCGAGGGAGGGGCGTATGGGTGTGTGTTTGTGCGTGCATGTGTGTGAGTGCATGTGCGGGGGGTTTGAAGGGAGGGGTGGTGGGCTGAGTGAGAGTCCAGGGCATGAATCGTTGCACACTTGCGCAACAAACAAGGCTCATCCGTGCGTGCGAAAAGATCATGGCGATTGCGTGGAGTCGCTGCAAACCTACGGCTGCCAAGGCCGGACAACCAATTGATGGCAAGGTGCTGCCAGTTTCCCCCAGCATTACTAGTGCAGCCCCCTGTGAAGTCGTGCACCTGCGCATGCCCTTGCACGCGCCCATCCCGCCTGCCCTCCAAGGCCGTTCTCACCCTCGCCTCCGCCCCAGGCACGAGGTAGTCTCCGTAGATCAGCCGCTCCCCCCCGACCGCCTCCCCCCAGCTCGTCCCAAACACATCCCTCAGCAGCGCCTCCTGGCGCGCCCTGAACCACGCCCTGTCGTCGTCGCAGGTCAGCCTGTCCTCGAAGACGCGGCTGACCTCGTGCAGCCAGAGGGTCACCAGGTGGGACGGGTCAGTGGTGTCCTTGGGGCTCGCGCGCATGAGGCCCTGGACCACCTGTGGTGCGGTGTGCAATGGGGTGGGGTTAGAGAAGCATGAGCGTTGATAGGACGGCTGGCTGAAGGGGGCCTGTGTGTGGACTGGACATACAGCGAGGAAAAGAGGGTCTGTGAGTGTGTGTATGTTTGTGTGTGTGTGTGCGTGCGCGCGTGTGTGTGTGCTCACGCGCACACTGGTTAAGCGTGCACGCATGCAAGGGAACCAGTGAAACAGTGGAAATACTAGGCTGTATGTGGGGCCGGGCCAGCGTAAAATGCTTGCAGCAAAGTGTGGTCTTGCCTTGGCCACGTCGCGGAGGTTGTAGGTGTAGTGGCTCTTGGAAGGCGTGGGCAGCAAGTCCACCCTGATGGCGTTGTAGACGGCCGTCGTCGCCTGCACAAGCTGCGAGTGTTGTGATTTTGAGAGGGTTGGGAGGTGAAGTGAGCAAGGCAGTCCACCATAAGCCGTTTGCGCACCTCCAACGGACCTGATACAGCGCTGGCTTTGCTATGAAGCCGCTCGCAATGCCAGAGAAGCGCTCCTGGCAATCCAGGGATTTTGGTGGACACAGCTAAGGTGCAGCCTACCGCTGGCACCTGAAGGCGCGCCTGCAATCTCTACCCGCCTACATCACCCCCACCTTGTCCGCAATACCCTGCTGGAGCGCAGCCCCCAGGTGCTTAGTGCAGAACGCAGAGAGGATGGTGCCAAATATCACTTGCAGCGTCTCATCAGCCATCTGAGTGAGGATCAGAAGGTTTTAGGTCAGGGGTTGGGGTGCAGCACCACACAAGCGATGTGGAGGTGCGTTGGGCCCACACACGCATGCAGTGTGGTGCCACACGACCATTCCAGGCACACCCTGGTGCGCGGCGGTTGAAGCAGTGCAGAGCAAACCGTCTTTGCCCATCATCAGACCCTCGGCTCAGCTATGCCCGCTGGCAAGAACGTCCGCTGCACGCCCGCGTTAGTGTGCAGGACGCACCTCAGCAAATGACAAGATGTTGAAATGGCGCAGCACGCGGTTGCTGACGGGGTTGCGTCCGCCGCCTGGCGGGCCCATTGCTGCCACCAGCTGGGTGTCCACCACCTGCCTGCAGGGTGCGCGCACACAAAAAGGGAGTGCATATCCATGGGTCGGTGCCTTAAACACCTGGGTCAGACAGCCTGCCACATCTCCTCACTGCGCAGCATCGGATGAACAAGTTCGAAGACAGAAACTTGGCATGCAGGGCAAGCCAAACTCGTGCAAGAGCACAACATGAAGCGCCCCTCACCTGAACGGGCAGGGCGGCTTGCGCTCGTACCAGCCGCCGTGGTCAAACCATTGGCGCAGCAGCTCCAGTGGCGGCTGGGCAAAGTAGCGCTCACGCTGCGCGGGGGGTGAGGTTAAGAGCGCAGGTTGGGACACATGACGGCAAAGGCGGGCGACAGTGCACAAATGCAAGCTACATTTGAGCGCACACCTGTCAGAACGTGCAGCCTGCAAGCATTCAAATGCCATTAGCAAGCCGCCTCTCAAAAATTGCCGTGTCATCTGCAGAACATATGATCCTTATCGAGACACTTCGTTCAACCTGTGGCATGTTGAGGTCGTCCACAAAGACCACGGCCTTCTTTCCGGCCGGCGGCCCATACACGCCCTTGCGCCGCTTGTCCATCTTCGAGTCTGCAAGGTTGGGTGGACACGTGTGAGACGAACACGCCAGCCCATTGTCTTGCAGCACGTTGGCGCAATGCACTGACTTCACCCTTTGGATTGATTCAGGCGCTCAACCAGCACACACGTCGTGGCAGGCACACAGGTTCAGCAGAGCGCAGGGGATGGTCTCAGCAGCTGGAATGGGAACAGGCGCCCACCGATGATGTCTTGCACCATGTTCGCGCTGGTGCGCGCCGAGAACGTGAGCAGCAGCGGCACCACCTCCGGTGGCATGCCCCCTGCCAGCTTGGTGCCGACCGTCAGCGTCTTGCCTGTGCCTGGGGTATGAAAACGGCGGCAAGTGATGCACCTGGACTCTACATATCTAGACGACATCTCAAAGCAATGCAGCCAGTTTTCATCCAAGCTAGTAGGTGGGAGGTTTTGCGCAGGCACGGCTAGAAGTAGGCGAACGACGAGAGCGCAGCCGACAAGAGGGTGACCAGCCTGCCCTTCCAGGCCCGGCTCACCTGTCTCCCCGACCACCAGCACGTGGTGGCCCCCGGCCAGCAGGGAGTCCAGCAGGTAGGAGTAGCGCACCTAGGAGAGCAACATGGCGGGGCCAGGGCGTTGGGGTTCAAAAGGGGTACCTGCAGTAGAGGTGAATGTTCTGATTGTGAGTGCCATCACACGTCAGCATTTGCAGAAGGTGGCCACAAGCGCGGAAGCGATGACCGCATGTTTCAAGCTTGGGATTGATTGCAGGACTCAAACCTCATACCCCGTTTCATGCACGCTGCCAGACGGCCTCACAAGCGCCTTTTAATCCCAAGCAGCTCCTGATAAGCAGGCCGCCTACATGCAGAAGCCCTACGCACTGTATCGATGGTCGGCACCACGATCTGATTGAAACGCCTGTCAGGGTCACACTTGTAGTCACCAGCAGCCGTGTCCATCCACCGCACCCAGCCCCTCCCGTTCGCCGCTGTGCCGCCGCCACCGCCTTCTAGATCCGCCGCAGGCTCATACGCCCATTCGTACAGGTCGGCCTCCGCAGGCGGCGCCGCCGCCACCCCGGCGCCGTCCAGGATCGCGGCGGCCGCCGGGAACTCAGCGGCGCGCTGAGTCAGCGCGTCGAGGGCGCCGCGCAGGTGTTGGTCAAAGGCGGCGCGGCCGTCCTTGTTGCAGGACGCGCCGAGGGACCATGTCAGGGCGAATGTGAAGAGGGCGGGCAGGACGGCGGCCGGCGCGGCGCTCTCCTCCGAATGATTATGGGAGCCGCCTGCAGGCTCGCGGCAACGGGGTGAGCGCAGAAGAGGCTTGTAATATGCAGCCCTAGCGGACTGCACATGCGGCAATTTCCAGCCGCATAAGCTACTGCAGGCTGCATCCCTTGCGCCGCTCTGCCGCCCACGCAATAGAGGGGTTCCAGGCGGCAGGCAGTGGGTCATGCACCCGTACCCCCCATTGGCCTGCGCACCCTGCTGGCTGCACTTGTAGCCGGCCCCCTCCAGCAGGGAGTCCAGCAGGCGGAAGAGACTGGCCACGAGGTTGTGACTGACGGTGGGGACCGTTTCCTTGAGCAGCTTGCGCACCAGGGCCAGACAGCCCGGGACCAGCGCCCTGGACGGGGTTGGTAAAACAGGGAAGCCGAGCCTCGTACTAAAAATCACAACACAAACTCCAGATTTTACAACACAACATGCTTGAGTTTGCCTAACAGAACCTGCAAAGGCAACAATAATGGATGACGTGATCAGGTGATTAGGAAATAGTGCAAAAGGCCCACCTGAAGAGGTCTCCCAGCAGCGCCGAGTGCGCGGCCACGCCGGGCGGCAGCGCCTGCAGCCAGCTGGCCAGCAGGGGCTCCAGTCCCAGGGCAGTGGGCTCCATGTAAACCATGCCACACCTGGAGGGACGGGCGCATGTGCATGTGGGTTTTCGATAGCCTCCGATGTGCAATACACACGACAAACTGCATCTGCAGGTGCTGGAGGCTGCACCGCTTCAGGCAAGGCTGGGTGAATATCGCGCAAGGCAGCCACGCAGCCAAGGCACGGCTGCCACCAGATGTGTTTGAAGAGCGATCCGCACAGGGGCTGCGTAGCGCTGACTCAGCACAGCCCGGAGCATCCCGCCCTCCCACCTGCTGACTGTTGCGGGTGACGCCACCGCGAGGTCCTCCACCTCAAACATCATGGTCATGGGGGGCGTCATGGTGATGATCTCGCCAGACACCAGGCACAGCTTCTTGTTGTCATCCAGGACTGTTGGGCGGGGGTTGTGGTATTTGGTGGCCCCGGGGGCTGCAGTCAAAAGATGAGAGGAGAGGAGGCTGACGGCCGCCGAGATGCGGCAGGGTTCAGCGCGGGTGCAAGCGCTCAAGGTTTCAGGATGCCGCTTCTTCGAGCTGGGCGTGCCCCCAGTATCTGACAGCGGCGTCAACAGGAAGCGTAGCAGGGGGGCGGCGGGGGCGTGTGCGTCTCGTATGGCTGCCGCTTGGCACACACCCGTGTTCATGTTCTCTATCCACAGCGCGTCCACGGGGCCGTCGAACATGATCCATTTCTTGTCCGGGGTTGTGTCCTGCGTGGGACGCGAACAAGGGAGGATCGCCGAGACAGGAGTGTTGAAGATGCTTGCGTTGACACTTGTTGAGGATGCGCGTAATGGTCAACTGCAGCCCAATTGCAGATCGGGGTTGGCCAGGGTGGGGTCACCAACAATCCCCACCATCGTGCCTTCATGAACTGAGTAGCTGAACACGTGCGTTCCCACTTAGTGCAGGCGGTGCTCACCTGCGCAGCCTCTCTCATGCAGCAGGCCAGCACGCCGTCTGTCCACTCGTGAGTGATGTCATCAAATTGGCCATACAGCTGGCCCATGGTAATCGACTTGGGGTTCAGCACCCATGTGCGGACCTGAGTGTGATGTCACATGATGACATTCAGAAGGGTGTCCTTCATCAAGTGTGGTGAAGGGTGAGCAGCAGCAGCAGCAGCAGCAGCAGCAGCAGCAGCAGCAGCAGCAGCAGCAGCAGCAGCAGCAAAACAAGCAGAGACATATGTACTACCACCAGCAGCAGCATCTGGACGCGGCTGATCCCAGGCGCTCACGCGGGTCGCCTCGGCGACCAAGGGTTCACACGCGCACCTTTTCAAACGCGTTTTCGCCCGCAGCACTGAGTGCCGTCATGGCGCGCCCCAGGGAGCGGTACGCGGCCGTCTTGCCGGCCATGGTGGGGCCCACCAGCATCAGCCCGTGGCGGACCTGGGAGGGGCCATGGAGGGAGACCGATGAACAGCGCAGCGCAAGGCAATAGCGCTTGCAGTGGGATGAAGGTGCCTGTTATGGCTGGATCTCAAAGCTGGGAAAGGAGCGGCCCACCCAAGGCTCAGGACCACTTATACCAGCTTCCCAGAATCTCAATATGTATTCTTCATGCTTATGGACGTCTTGGCGGGGTCCAGCGTCGGGCGGCCCTTGGCATCACGCCCACCCACCAGTGTGGTCTCATACAGCTGGATCGCCTTCGCCAGGAACGGCTCCGCCGGCTGCAGCCCCTGGGACCTGCGCAGCGCAAAGTGTCGGAGACGCGGGGCCGTTCAGGTTCTGGGTGACAGAACGTCAGAAAGATGGTGTGCATTGTGACAACAAGAATTCACATAATGTCAGCACCAAAAATCTTGCGGGGGGAACAGGGTAGCGGCCGTTGATGGGCGACGAGACTGCCGGCAGCCATGCTTGCCCTCCTCACACGCCTACATGAGGCCCACCTGCACGCATCCTGCAGAGCGCCCGTGAGGGCGGCGTAGTCGACGGCTGGCGGCGCCACCCCCGGGAACAGGTCCCCGACGATGCCGGCAAATAGCGGCAGGTCGTGGGCAAGGAATTTCGGCAGGTTGACGTCCCTGATTATGGCGGATGGAATTTCAAATGTAGGGGTTCAGGAGTCGAGTGAGCTGGCGCAACGTGAATTGGTTTCTGGAGGCTGTCTGGATGTGGTGCAGACTCAAGCACAATCAGATGCATGCGACGCCGCACCTGCCGTGCAACGCAGCTAACAGCTGCCCGACCCCTCGGCCAAGTGGAAGCAGAATAATTTAAAGCATCCCAATGACAAGGAGAGGTTGGGTTGGTGTCGGTCCACATGACGTGTCAGCAGGCTGCGCCCACCTGATGGCGCGCAGCACGAGCACGTCTTCATCGTCTGAGGGCCGCGCACGCTTCAGGTTGCCGGCAGCGGTGATGACGCTCTTCACTGCGCGCATGCCCTGTGGTGGTGTGATTGGGCGCGATTTTGGGAATCACAAAACCAACGTGGTTTGATGGGTCCTAGTAACAGGGTGGTTTGGGATTCATCGTGCCAGGGCCAGGGTTGTCTGCAACATCAGGCCCATGAGACCGAGTCAGCAGTTGCCCCTTGCTTGCGTCATCAACCAACAACTAGGGCAAACACAGGAAGACGCGCGAATCATGCAGGCCCCGCTTGCTGATTACAAATCCAACAGCAGTATACACAGAGACTTCCAGATCCAGGGGGGGCTCACGTAGTCATAGTGGTCCTGGCTGGAGAGCTGCTCGCTGCAAAGCTTGAAGGTCGCCACCATCTTGCGGGCCAGCGGCTTGGCAGACTTGTACCTGCGCGCATCAACGCAGCGCGCCCGACGTAGGCAGGGGTGAGGGCCGAATTGAATCGCAAGACAACAGTAGTGCATTGACGTTGGCATGCAGTCAATTGGCCTGCCGCACATGTGCAGCGCTGATGGAAATTAAATGTAAGCGTATTCAGACTGTTGCTACACAGTGCCCAACAAGGTGCTCTGGTGGGAGTGTACTTTCAGGGCGTGACATCGCGCACCCGTATGAGTAAAGGCTGATCTCCGCAATCAGGGCGTAGTCAGGCACCATCATGGCGCAGGGCCGGAACAGTGCCTTGAGGTTGTCTGGCAGCTCGCTGCGACCTGGGACGCGGGCGGGCGCGGGAGTGCAGGTGTGTGGGTGGAGATGTCAAGGCGCTCATGCAGCAGTGTGAAGGCGCGTGCCATCGGAAGAAGTGTGAGACGCGACAGAAGCTCAGAAAGGTTTGATTCAGCAAGGCTGACAGAAAGCTTGGGTAGGCACCTGATACATGCAGCCACAGACTACGCTAACCAAACTAGGGGGGTTGCAGGCAGCGCGTTTCCGTCCCGACCTCTGCGCACCCGCATAACCAGGGTTCATGGTGATGAACACCGCGCAGGCTGGGTTGAGGTCAATCTCTGCGTCCTCAAAGATGAAGCGCTTCAGCTTGGCCTGGGGGCGGGTGCGGGGATGGTGTTGTGGCTTTGCAGAAGATTTCGGGCGCTGCAGCGGCATTCACTCATTCGTTCCAACAACCGCCGTTGGAGAAGACTGTAAACCAGCTGTTGGTCGTTGCATGAAGCCGTACATCTCCACAAGGCATGCAGCGGCGCCCCAACCTGGTCTCCAAGTTGTTCAGGCCCCACCTGGATGGCCAGCTGAATAGTGAGGATCTGCTGGGCGATGACACTCAGCACCTGAACCGTGTCGATCGTCAGCGAGCCAGAATTCAGATGAAACGCGTCGCGTGCGCATGCAGTCAGGTGCGCAGACCACTGCCGAGTTCTGCTAGCAAGCGCCTGCCAGGCCACTCGGGGGTCAAGCATCTTACCCCCTTGCACGCCAAGCCAGATGGATCCAGGCTGGCGCCTTCGCATTCCGACACACCGTGGCAGCTTTCGCAATCGCTGCTTGGAACCCAACACCAGGCAAACCCTGAGTTTGCGGTGCTCCCTGAGTGTGTGCTCAGGGGGCGCACCTCGAGGTCGATGCGGTTGAACTCGTCAAAGCAGGCCCACGCGCCGCTGCTGGCCAGCCCCTTGAAGAACTTGCCCTGGGGAGGTTTTCAAGTAGAGGGCGGCCAGCGACACGCAGCGCAAATTGCTGGCAGATGTATAGCCCATATGAAGTGGCATTGCTGCAAATGTCAATCAGTCTGCATGCGAGCAAACCGAGGCCCATTTCATGCAAGCCCCAACGGGCGGGTGTGCACATTTGCGTGATGATCCGATGTGTGGGGGTGCATGATGCTGCACAGCACATGTGCAAGCACGCACACAAGCTGGCACACACGCGTGCACGCAGGCGCGCTTGCACCCCTACGATTTCCCCCGCAAAAAGAAGCGCACCATTGCGAGGTAGTCGAGGCCGTCGCTGCAGTTGAAAACCACGCACTGCTTTGCCAGCGCCTTGGCCAGGTCCTTAGTGGTCTCAGTCTTGCCGGTGCCTGGTCAAACGCAGTCAAACGGCGTTTTGTGATTTGAGGAGGAGGGGAGGTTGAGAGAGGGCAGATCCATCATGTCGCCGTGTTTTGTGTTTTCAAGTGGACAGGCAGCCTTCCAAGCACTGACATCAAGCACCGGCAGCCCAGCAGCGCGTTGCAGCTGGTATTTGTTGGTGCAAGGAGCCGCTATGCGCGCACCTGCTGGGCCGGCGGGGGCGCCGCCCAGGTTGAGGTGCAGGGCGCTCATGAGCGTCATGTAGCACCTGGAGGGGCGGGGCAACGATGAGTGGACCATCGTTACGTGGCTCTTTGAAAGAAAAGTGTCTACGCACTTCACTAATGCCGCCGGGAGTGGGGAGGCTTGATGTCAGCCAGGCCGTGTGTATCGACCCGAGGTATCTCGTTGACTGTCGCACCCCCTCCCTCGTTTTTCCGTAGCTCACCGGTCCGTCAGCGGCGTGATGACGAGGCGCGGGCTGTTGCCCAGGTACTCGTAGCCGTACGCGACAGACGCCTGGCAGGGGACGGTCAGTGGGGGGTGGTTGAGTGGGTTGGTTTCATTCAAGTGCTGTTTTGGGGGTGGCTCTTGCACTCGTTGTGTGGGGGTGTAAATCGGGGATGTGGGCTGATTGCCGAGCAGGCACGCTCATAATTAGGACAGACGTAAAGTGCAGGATGATATGCAGCACAGATCGGGCGCAGACCTCAGCAGCAGCACCATATGTGGCAATCACAATGCCAGCCAGCTAACCCAAAAAGGCGACCAATTCACCCCCTCAGACGCCACATTCACGATCTGAATCCAAACCCCAGCCACTTCACCTGGACCATGTCAACAAACAACTCCCCGTCCCGCCAGTAGTACCGCAGTCGTGACACCCACTCAAAGTCGGTGGTGCGCTGGATGCCTGCTCCCAAGCAAGTGTGTGGCAAGCATAGAGCAAGGCCGAATTTTGATCGATCAACTTGTGTGATTGCTGCAGCTGGGCGCCGCAACCAGGCGCCGTTCAAAGTACACAAGCAGCCACACTTCCTGCTCAGCCAACTGCCGGGAATTCCGCGTTCCGCAGAGCACGCATGTAGCCCCCCGGCCGCCTTGGGCAGCAGCGCCTGCCAGTCAGCAAGCAACGTATGAACCGCCCTCCCCGTTCCTCACCCGCCTCAACCAGCTCCTGCACCACGTCGCGCGCGTGCACGTCGATGGTGATGAGGGCGCCCAGCATCTGGCGCTGGTTCTCCGTGAGGGGCCCACGCACCTGGCAGGGCCGGGGTTGAGGGGATGTTCAAGGATGGTACCAAATCGTGTTGGTTGGGTAAGGGAGGGATGGTGGAGCAGTGGATATGCGACATGGCCGTCTTGAAGAGTGCATTCCCCTTGTTCATCCAGTCTGGTGCGTGCATGCAGGTCCAAACATCATTGAGCTGCATCGCTGGTCGGCAGTTCTCCTTTGTTTGACAGCAATGGGTCCAGATGCACAACTGAACTCGCGCCCAACACCCCCCCACGTCCTCCACGCTTTTGACCAGTCCAAAGTCTACGAAAGCCTAACAAACCACCTCGGGACGTTCACAGTCGACCTCATAGCATCCCTAGCCAACCCGCCTGTCTTCGGGGCAAAGTTTGTGATCAAGCAAACAAGATGATGATTGCCCAGTCACCAGGTCTGTGAGTCCCATCAGGTCCTCTGTGCACTTTTGAAGGAACGCCGGCACCGAGCTCTCAGCCACGGCGCCCTCGACGCCCGCGCTCCAGAAGACCTGAGTCACCGCGAGCACGACCATCGCCGGCCAGTCGCACACCCACTGCGTGCGGGGCTTTGAGCCGTAGGCAGCCATCGCGGCCACGATCTGGCGGTTGAATGGCAGTTGGTGGCGGTTTATGGGTGCCGGCAGCCTGGAAATGAGCAGCTTTAGCTATGACAATCAAAAAAAAAGGGTCAATACACAGTCCAGCAAGGCATGTTATGGAAAAGCGGCTTTGAGGGCTGGCTGCAAGGCCCGCGTGGTCCGCTGCCTCTCATCATAAGAGGCCAAGGGGCGAGGTCCTGTTGGGGGCAAACCAAGGAGCTCTCCCCACCTGAGCGCGCACGCTGCTGCGCATGCGGCGCTCCACCTCTCCCAGCCAGATCTCGACGTTGCCTGTCGGCCGCATCGGCTGGTCAAACGGCACCTGGACGGGCGGACCAGATCAGTGGAGGGGAGGGCACACGCCCGGTGGATCTCAACCACCCACTGCCAACCTGATCCCTCCCAGGTCAGATGTGACACTGAAGCACAACGCTCCCCAGCCAGATGCAGCCAAGTATGCAAGCACTGGCCAGCAGCGGA